TATTTATTTATCATAGTAAACATTAGATAATGAAAATATAATTGTTCACTGTTAGTTCATGCTAACTCAGTGCATTAACTAATGTCATCCAGTTAAACTTTGGATGTTAATAAAAAGTTAGTAAATGTATTTTTTTTTAATGCAGAACAAGATTTGCCATAAACTAACATTAACTAATGGGATCTTATTGTAAAGTGTGACCATTATAAATAAAAATCATGGTAAAATAATAATTAAGCTACTGTAAACAATAATCATAGTATTTATTTTACAGTAATTTATTATTAGCAGCAGTTGTTAATAATGTAATTAATAATGTTATAATCAATAAGATATTACTGCAATCATTTATTTTTTTTTTTCTGTGAATCTGATTAATTTTTATTTACAAACTTCTGTTCACATCTGTAATTTGCTATTATCGAAGCTATTGTTATTGAATAGCTATTGCCATTATTACATATTATATACAGTTGAATGATTACCCCGCCTGAATTATAAGCCCCCTGTTTATTTTTTTTAACAATTTCTGTTTAACAGAGAGAAGAATTTTTTAACACATTTCTAATCATAATAGTTCTAATAACTGATTTATTTTATTTTATCTTTGCCATGATGATAGCACATAATAATTTACTACACATTTTTCAATACACTAGTGTTCAGCTTAAAGGAACATTTAAAGGATTGACTGGGCTAAAATTTTTGACCTTAAAATGGTGTTAAAAAAAATGTAAAACTGCTTTTATTCTAGTCAAAATAAAACAAACAAGACTTTCTTCAGAAGAAAAAAATATTATCAGACACTTATCAGACATAATTATCAGACACTCTGTGCATGCTAGCGCTCCATTAACTGTGCATGTTACAGGTGTCACAGAGGATGCGCCTGTCCTAATTGTCTATCTGACACACTTTAGTTGACAGACCTGCCTGCTGTGGGCTTGTAGCAGGGGGGAGGAAAGGTGACAGCCAAAGGACACACAGACACAGCTCTGATCACTCAAGATAGAGACCTCAACCATGCCATACCGAAAGGGTCAGTGAGCAGCCCGTTTAGGAGCAATCAATAGATGCTTTCGCACATTCACAACAGACTTTACATTGACAAATTAAATGGGATGAGTGCTATTGAGCATCACCGGTTGAGAGGTAACACCATCACTAACAAGATAATCAGATTCGATTGAACTAGGAATTCTGTGCATTATACTATATGTGTGTACGTGTGTGTGTGTGTGTGTGTGTGTGTGTGTGTGTGTGTGTGTGTGTGTGTGTGTGTGTGTGTGTGTGTGTGTTTGTGTGTTTGTGTGTTTGTGTGTGTGTGTGTGTGTGTGTGTACAGGGTCCCTGCATGTATCAGTTTCAAGTCAAACGTAAGACTTTTTAAGACCTGAAGAAATAAATAAATACTCTACATATAGGGATGTGCAACATTGACAGAAAATTGCATATTAATAATCTGTTGATGACAATAATAATAATAATAATAATAATAATAATAATAATATGGCATTATGCTGAATCTGTTTTTGTGCTGTGTTGTTTTGGCCTGATTAACTCTCAAACATACTCACATTATTCATATTCAACGCACAGTTCAAGACATAACTTTTTTTAATTAAAAGCCAATATGTGCCACATTAAATTGATTTGATTTGGGCATATTTAAATGTGTATCTTTATATACTTATTAGACATCTGCATAACCTTTTACATCCAAATCTAACATTAAAATTAGTAATTTAAATAACAATACCTCATCAAATAAAATTACTATTAGCAAAAATTAATCTTTGAGGTGATCCAGAAGTGCCATGCAAAGTGGCATTAATATATTTGCACTGCATTTGCACAAATAATACTAGGTGAGTGTTTTTTTTAATGTAATAGTTACATTTGAGGTGATTTAGTTTTCACTTTAATTATTAAAAGGCACTTCAAATATCAAACTACAACCAACCCTGTCTTAATACGTAAGTGGGTTGAATGCATCATTTGTTTAACTGATTTGATCAAATGGAAAAAGGAATGAAACAAGTGGCTCCCTTTATGAATAGATGACTGAATAATTAATGAAACCGATTCATTCAAAATGAATCACCACTATGTGTTTCTTGAAAGTTTCCTTGTACTGTGGTTGTTTTATTTTTTCTTTTATTATGCTTGGAAAAAAAATTCTGTATCTCCAGGACTTTGCAAGTCTAATGGCTCTTGAGATCAAAAAAATAAACATAAACAAGAAAAAAATAAACATTTTTCAAGATTATTTTGTATTTACAAAGAAAAACACAATACTTCATGTAAATAATATCATATGTTTTAGGAAAAGCAGCCACAAAATAAGTCATTTTAGGTTTTGTTTCTTTTATTTTTATTCATTTTATTTTTTAGTTTCTAAGAATCCAAAAAGGTCCAGATATTGATAAATATTGTTATGATAGCTAATTTAACGTGTAAATAGGATTGAATTGACTTTTGTTACAGTTCTGAAATAGTATGATAACAAGCAGGAAATGTTTATAGGCCAATGACATTACCACATTGAAATGGTCTATAGAATACAAAAATAAGGAGAAAAAAAACATATGGCAAACATATGGGGTCACATACAGTAATTGCAAACAACATGCAATAAAAGTATAAGTGCAAATTCAATGTCGCATTTTGCTCAAACAATACTTATACACAACAATGATATCATTACATAAGATACACTTACAAGACTGCACAATCCACAAGAAAGAATAATAAAGATAATACATTGCTAATTCGATAAATAGATTTTAATTTGCTCAGATTTTTACACATATCTATATTTAAAGTAAAATTTATGACCTTTCAGGTGTAACAATTATTTGTTACACCTGGCTTATTTGGCTTTAAATAGTATGACAAATGTAACAATATGTATCAAAATGCATTCAGAAGTGAAAGTGTGTGTGTGTGTGTGTGTTTTTGAGGCTACTATACCTGCCCATTTGTCAAGATCTTCTTAAGCTCAGCTGAAGACTTCTTCAAACTGCTAAAATATAAAAACAAAAACAAACAAAAAAAACATTTTAAGACACCTTAGTAATGCTCTGCCAAAATCTGACATGAGTAAACAGTTTAGACAGAGCAGTTATTTCACATCAGAGATGTAAGATCAGAGTAATTTATTTGGTATGATCTGTTCTACTGCTGCACACACAGAAACACAAACACACACACAGGCTGGCCTTCAAACTGCAGGTCTTTGTCCTGTGCTGGGGGGGGGTTCATTTTCTCAGACCAAATCTAATTAAAAGCTTTAATCTCATGCTCAATTTCTCTCATTAATAAAATGTACATTATTGAGACCCTTATAATGAAATGAATCAACATAGCTTTTGTTTAGCTTCAACAGTCTTTTCATGCCATGTCAAATGTAACTGTTCAAAACAAGAGTATGTTGATGTATCATTTGTTCTACTAAAAATATAAATTACTCCTTTAATGTATTTTTAATTAAATAGAGAGTATAGGTCAAATTATACACAAGCAAACAGAAATAACAGTTTAAATATCCACTAATGTTTTAAAGTTTACAGCCAGTAAGATGTTTTTAATACATTAATGCTTCCTAAATAGGCTCTCCAAGGCTATTTAGTTGATCAAACAGCAATAGGTGAATTATTATTACAATTGAAAAGTTTTAAATGTAATACATTTCAAAATGTAATTTAATCTTGTGGTTTATTCCTCTTTAGTGTCAAATGATCTTTCTGAAATTATGCTTTTTTATGCTAAATTGGTGATCAAGAAATAAATACGTAATTTGAATCAAAGTAAAATATAAAACTTATTATTGCTAAAAATATAAATTTTTAAGCAATATATATATATATATATATATATATATATACATATATACATATATATACATATATACACATATATACATATACATATATACATATACATATATACATATATATATATATATATATATATATATATATATATATATATATATATATATATATATATAAACATTTTCTCCAAATTCCATTTCATTTATCTTGATTTTTTTTTTTTTTTTTTTTTTTTAGATATTTATTTTCTTGGGCTCCATTTCTATGATTAAAATACATTTTATAAATCAAAAAGCATGATCAAAGTTTAAAAAACAAAGTAAAAAAAAGTCATTCCTATCTCTTTTGTTCAATTTTGAAGCATCGATAAAAAAGTTTATTAATTAAAAAAACTCATGAGAAAATTAGTAAACCCAATACACCTACACTACCAGTTAAAAAGTTTGGGGTCAGTAGGATTTTTAAATGTTTTAAAATAAGCTTCTCCTGCCCACCAAGGCAGCAATAATTTCATCAAAAATACATAACAAAGAGTAAAGTTGTGAAATGTTATTGCTCTATAAAATAACAGTTCAAAAGTAGTTTATAATTGAATTTAATCATTTATTCCAGTAATTTTATAGAATAATATTTAGCTTCATTACTCCAATCTTCAAAGTCACATGATCCTTCAGAAATCACTCTAATAATAATAATAATAATAATAATAATAATAAATTATTATTATTACTATTATTATTATTATTATTATTATTAATGATAATAGTAATAAAAGCAATAATGACAAGAGTAATAATTTTATTTTAAACCACATACAATAAGCAGTTATTTAAAATATTAATAAATATTTAACAATTTAACATTTTACATTTAATAAATGTCACCTTGATGAACAGAATAATTTTCTAAAAATTAAAAAAAAAAAAATAAATAAAATAATCAAACATTTGACCAGTAGTGTATGTTGGTTTATCCACTCCGTATCCTGTTAATTTCTATCATTAACTACATTTCAAAACACTCATTCCAGCAAAGTCATCAATGTATGCACTTGAAATGCAAGCTTCACCTTTCAGTATTAATAAACAAAACAAACACTGGTATGAAGCCTTTTCCCTGTGTTTCCTCCACTTAATGAGTGCAGATGTGATGTGGGATCACTCACCTATCGCTGGAGCGGGAATCAGCTGCAGAGGAGCTCCTGCCACTCGAGGATTCGGGCCGCGTGTTCACCTGCGGGCAAACAAAGACAATCACAACCTGTGCTAATTAACCTGTGATTCAACAGCAAACTGCCTGGTTTGGCCGCAAGGTTAATTGGCTTTTGTGGGGGAGACAGTGAGATCTAGAGATAGAGGCTTGAGGAAAGGGGTCACTTCATCTATCAGGCAAAATTAAATATAACTCTGGGAACATCCTTGGGTGAAGAAAAAAAAATGGATGAATCAACATCACGTCCTTTATTTGTCATTAAAGAGGATTCATGAAGCTGCTTATTGTCAGAGCCGCACTAATGGATCGCTGTGGGAGAATGAAGGAAATGGGCTCAAAGAGAGTCCCTGTATAAATAAGCAGATTAATTGAGGTCTGAAGGTCAAATAGTGTGAAGCAGTAAAGCAGTGATTCTCTTCTTAATTAGTGTCTATGAAGACCTCATTTAAGTCAGTTTATCTGGGTTTTTTATACCCTTTTCAAGCCAATAGAGCTGAAAATCAAACTACACAATTCAAAAGTTTGGATTTAGTAGATGCTGTTTTGTTATGGGAAATGTATAATTTTTGTTCTCACAAGGATACGTTTAAAGCATCAAAAGTGATAAAAAAAAACATGGAAAACGTTCTCCATTATAAAAAATAATTACACAAGTAAAATACAGCTAATTTAAAAGACACTTCAGTATTAGCAAGCACAAGATATTTTTCCAAAATCAAAACCTAAAATCTTCCAAACCCCAAAATTCTCAAAATGTGATGTAAATTTATCAATTTCAAATGTGCCTTACAAAGATACATAACAACTATAAACTAAACTGATAAAGCTACTGATAAATTTGCAAAACATAATAAGAATCAATAGCCAATACACATAAATTAATGTATCTGTCAAAACCAAACATTTTTTTTGCCAAATTCTCATTAGTCATTCTTTTATTAGTCTCGCGTATCCAGACTTCAGACTGACTGTGAAGGTCTGGTTGCTTTTAATGGTGAAGGACCGCCCACTATATTATATGATTCACAGGTAATACAACCAAATCATATTTGGTTTTGTATTGCATCATGTTTTCGGGCTTGGAATTATCCTTTACATAATAGCCCGCATGCAAACGTACCCTATTCACTCAAAAAAATATTTAAAAGTTTACCATAATGACGCATCAATATTTTTAATATCTATTCATACATTATTTGAGAGATGCATTTCTACATATTGAGATGAAATATGACTGAAAGGTGAAAGGTTTTTTGGTTCTATAAAAGCAAGATTTTGTTGCATTTGGAAGAATCCACAAATCAAGTAACCTCTGTTCTGAACAAAGTCTTTCTCTTATCTTTATGACCAAAATGACAGAATATTTTAAGGTTTTCATTGCCATTGGAAAAAAAAAAAAAGTCAGTCACACTTTATTTTGATGGTCTGTTTGTTAAATTTAAGTTACACTGCATCTACATGCCAACTAATTCTCACTAGATTATAAGCAGACTGTTAGGTTGGGGTTAGGGTTAGTGTAAGTTGACAAGTACTTGCTAAGTTTCATATAGAAAGTTAAATGTCTGTTGAAGGAGCATTGTCAATAGATATTTAGCAGACAGTCTACTAATACTCAAACGGACCACTAAAATAAAGTGTTACCAAAAAGTCAATTTAAGTCAAATTGAAAAAGGCTCATTGTCACAAATGTCTAAGAAAGTGATACATTTATTAATGAACACTGTCGTTAATAAAAATATCACAGCTTTTTATCTGCTCAGACTTGTTTCCTGGTGGGCTGATAAATATTGCTGCATACTCAACGCATGGAAATTTTGTATATTTAAACCAATCAGAGGACGACTGGTGAACTACAAAAGTGTTTCCAAAAACAAAAAAGTGTGCCATATGCATCAGATGTTTAGCCAAATTTCTATGGGGTGTGCTTGGCTAAACGTCTGAGGCTAAGACAATTCTTTAATGAGCTGGACATACAGTTTAACAGGTTATTTAACATATTAAGCTAACTATGCTAACTATGATTAGGCCTGTCACGATATCCTTTTTTTTTTTTTTGCGCTATAATGCTCTAAATCATATTGCGATAAACTATATTATTGTCATTTTTACACCATTTTTTGCCACTCTTTGTATAATGCTAGAATGACAATATATTAATCAACATAATGCAAGTACAGTACACTCTTCCAAATAACACATCATATTTATTGTTAAGGGTATTTTGTTTACTTATAGTCCATTTAACAATTTAATAATGAGGCATTGGAATCAGAATGTGAAAATCCATAAAACAGAAAACAAATAATTAATAATAAATGTTAACAAAAAAAGTGGAGGTAAAAAGTAACAGTATCTGCTACCAGATCTATTTCCAGTTGTCAGACACCCACATGAAAATAAACTATAGTAATTTAAGTAAATTTAATAGTAAGTTTAACCATACTGTAACAATGACACTTCCGTTGGACACAGAGAGGTTGCACAATCAGCTAAAATGTTGCTTAAATTGGTTTTAATGTATGGGCTATATATATACTGCGATAAGTCGATATATTGATTATTGTGACAGGCCTAACTATGGTTGGCCACAAAATGTAAAAAGAGGAACGCTTAACATTACAACAAATTTGGGGTATGGTAATTTACTGTTACAGTAAACTATATTGTCCTCTTTTGGGGCGATTTGTTCTGCAGCGAAATAGATTTACAACACATATATCACACCACACACTTAAGACAAACATTAAACAACATTAACAGAACTAAAAGACAGCAACTACCTCTTCCCATTAAAATTCAGCAAATCAAATCAATCGCACAAGGACCAAAATGCAAATTTAAATCTGTTGGTCCTTGCCAAAGGACCCCATACCAACATCCTGAGGGAAGTATTTGAAATTAATAAAAAAAAAAAAAGAGGATGGGATATATCAGACGTAGTCTGATGGGCATTCTTTAACACATGGCTTTCATACAAATAGGATTTCATACAAATAATTCCAGCACTTTTGCCACTAATACTTTGCAGCAGGTATGTAAATCTGTAGACAGTGAGTTCATCTGTTTTACTTTTAAAGTACAAGCTAACGAACCAATGAAAAGGTTCAAATGTATTCTATATAGGCCTTATAAAATGCCACCAGAGTAACATCAATATTACACTTCGCTAATTTCCGCAGACGAAAAAGTCTTTGTTGGCCTGTCCTACATAGTCTTTCAGTATATAAGAGTGGTATATAAGAATTAGGTCAAAATTGTTGTACGTTTTAACATGGTTTGGACTATTGCCGGTTAAAGAAAAGCAAAAACTGTCATTAGAATTTTAAATGCTAGGTTTTAAGTAAGAATTGGGTTAATTGTGTTTGCAATGTGATTTATGTGATGACATTGGATGTATTTGTGTTACTTGTTTTTTTGTTTTTTTATGTGTGGTATATGTAATGTAAATGCTGATGTAATTATTTGGTAAAGCAAAAGATAAATTTCCACTTTTGGATAATAAAGAAAGTCAAAGTCAAATAATTTAAAATAATTACAAATCAACAACAAAAGCTTTAATTAGGTCAGCAAACAAATAAAAATGACAACAATCTCATAATAATAAGCAAATACATTAATATATTTACGCTGGGAACTCATAAACCCTTGACATTTAAGCAACAAAGATTTTTTTCTCTGAAAAACCAACAGCTGTGGGAATTTCGATTGTCTGATTTTTATTTTCTTTCTCAAGAAAACTGCATCCACAATGTTTGAGACTGGAAAATATTAATTGCATTTTTATAGTGTATATTTGTATTTTAACAAAACATTTTATTTTCAATAACTTCTATATAAAAGCTTCCCATCAAATCAAAAGCAAGATAATAAAAAATACAACAAAGAGTGATGGGAGAGTAGAAAATGAGGGACAGACAGAAAAAGAGACAGTCTTGACTTCAATTGACATTTCAATAAGTGGTACACAGCATAACCGATCCATACCCAACTCTGCTGAAACAATCATTGAGACACATACCTTCAGGCCGTGAATGTTGCGGATCCCTGGGGTCTTACCGGCTGAAAAGAAAATTGACTAGATTGTAGATCACATGAGGCCAAAGAAAAAGAACACGAGCAGAATATTTTAAACGTTTAAAATGATTGCACGAATCTACCTGCAACACAACAAGACAGACATAATGAGGTGTAAAAAAAAATGTGTGTGTGTGTGTGTGTGTATGTATATATATATATATATATATATATATATATATATATATATATATATATATATATATATATATACACACAGTTGAAGTCAGAATTATTAGCCCCCCTAAATTATTAGCGCCCCAGTTTATTTTTTTTCCCCAATTTCTGTTTAATGGAAGGAAGATTGTTTCAGCACACTTCTAAGCATAATAGTTTTAAAAACGTATTTCTAATACCTGATTTATTTTATCTTTGCAATGATGACAGTAAATAATATTTTACTACATATTTATCAAGACACTTCTATACAGCTTAAAGTGACATTTAAAGGCTTAACTAGGTTAATAAGGTGAACTAGGGAGGTTAGGGTAATTAGGCAAGTTATTGTATAACGATGGTTTGTTCTGTAAATTATCTAAAAAAAAAATAGCTTAAAGGGGCTAATAATTGTGTCCCAAAAATGGTTTTAAAAAAAATTTATAACTGCTTTTATTCTAGCCAAAATAAAACAAATAAGACTTTCTTCAGAAGAAAAAACATTATCAGACATACTGTGAAAATTTCCTTGCTCTGTTAAAAATCTTTTGGGAAATATTTAAAAAAGAAAAAAAAAAATCAAAAGGGGGCTAATAATTCTGACTTCAATATATATATATATATATATATATATATATATATATATATATATATATATATATATATATATATATATATATATATATATATATATATATATACAGTTGAAGTCAGAATTATTAGCCCCCTTCGATTTTTTTTCTTCTTTTTTAAATAATTTCCAAATGGTGTTCAACAGAGCAAGGGTTATTTTTACAGTATGTCTGATAATATTTTTTCTTCTGGAGAAAGTCTGATTTGTTTTATTTCAGCTAGGATAAAAGCAGTTTTTAATTTTTAATGAACCATTTTAGGGACAAAATTATTAGCCTCTTTAAGCTATATTTTTTCTTGATAGTCTACAAAACAAACCACTGTTATACAATAACTTGCCTAATTCCCCTAACCTGCCTAGTTAACTTAATTAACCTAGTTAAGCCTTTAAATGTCACTTTAAGCTGTATAGAAGTGTCTTAAAAATATCATTTAAAATATTATTTACAGTAATCACTGCAAAGATAAAATAAATCAGTTGTTAGAAATGAGTTATTAAAATTATTATGTTTAGAAATGTGTTGAAAAAATCTTCTCTCCCTTAAACAGAAATTGGGGAAAAAATAAACAAGCGGTCTAATAATTTAACGGGGCTAATAATTCTGACTTCAACTGTATATATATATGTATGTCTATGTATTCAGGAGAAATTTACATCACCAATCTAAAATGTATCGCTCTCACAGAAGCCACTCAGCATGAAGTAAATTGGGATTTGCTCACACACTTAAACATGTGAGCAGGACATTGCTGAGTATAAGGTAATAAACTGAGTATTAAACTGGCTCTAGGTGGGCCTCTGGCACGTTTACTGTTGCAGTGTTAAACTGTAATTTGTACAAACACACCAACACACTATACACACCTCGTGGAAATATCTGTAAAGGCTCAGGTAACAGTCCATTGAAGCGTTGCTCCATCACTGTATTGCAGTACTGCAGAGAATAGAAGAACAAAACTCTTAAAAACAGCCCTGTTCTTTTTTTTTCAGAATATTGCACACAGAATCAATATTACACTCTGTGAAAGTCTTTGGGAAAAAAGTCCCATGGAGTACATAAAAGCAATCTTATGTCAAAAAAAAAAAAAAAACACAACATCCGCTTTCTTTCCTAGTCACTTGCGGTGTTGGGAAGAAAAGAAAAGACGTTAAATGAATCAGGCACCCTGCTCAGGTAATCTTTCTGAAACACCAGCCACCCTCTGTATCAATTCATCCGTTGTAATGGCTGCCAGGCGCAGTCCAATCACTGAGCTTTCTCATTTCAGCCTGACGTAAAAGCAATCTGCCAGTAACGGCTGCCTATTAATTAATTACACCGCATAACAGGCTGAAATAGAGTCTGGCATTTATAAAGCTTTTATTATATTATTAACACCATTATTAATGTCAAGGCAAGCTTTTGGCTTTAATTATCAGTACCTTTCTTTAATTAATCTGTGCCAGAAATAAAGGAGTTGAACTTCAGACTTCACTCAACAAGGCTAAATTATATAATTTCACAAAATTTTAACAGGTATTTGTGTAATTATCAGTATTTATTATTTAATAAATCTTTGGCATTAATATAGACACTGCATTTTAGATTTCAGCAAAATAGACTGAACAATAAACACAAATTACTTTTGTTTTTACTTATGTAAAATTTTTGTAAAGTTAATACATTTACTCTACTTATTGACTTTAAAATTATTTTATCTGATACATCTGTCATATGTGATGTTTTCATATTTATATCAATAAAATGTTAAATTACATTAATTACTTTAGCATGTTAAGTGTGTCATGGTGGTACAGAGGGTAGTATGATCGCAGACGAACAGCAAGAAGGTCTTGATTTGAGCCCCGGCTGGGTCAGTTGACATTTCTGTGTGGAGTTTGCATGTTCTCCCTGTGTTTGTGTGGGTTCACTCCGGGTGCACTGGTTTTCCCCACAGTCCAAAGACATGCACTATAGGTAAATTGAATAAGCTAAATTGGCTGTAGTTTACGTGTGTAAAATAGTGTGTATGGTTGTTTCCCAATGTTGGGTATGCTGGATAAATTGGCGGTTTATTCTGCTGTGGCGACTCATGATTAATAAAGGGACTAAGCCGAAAAGACAGAGTCTGTCATAATTTCAAAATATAGTTCAATATTTTGTAGTGGATATAGCATTTTTACTCATTCTTTTTTAAAATAAAAAAAACTGGCAATGTACAATGACTTACATAAAAGTTGTGTGATATTTTGCATATACACTGAAAAAATTTTATCAAAGATGATTCCTTAGATTTACTAAGTTAAATGGTTGTAAACATTTTTTTGGGCTGAATTTAAGCAAATGAATTAAGTAACTAAATTCAATTTGTTTAAATTCAACGCATATAAATTGTTAGCAACAATTTTTAGAATTTTTTTTTTCCCCAGTGTAGACAGAAATACAGTTAACGTCAGAATTATTAGCCCCGTTTATTTTTTCCCCAATTTCTGTTTAACGAAAATAAACAAAATTCAACACATTTCTAAACATAAAAGTTTTAATAACTCATTTCTAATAACCGATTTATTTAATCTTTGCCATGATGAGAGTAAATTATATATGACTAGATATTTTTGAACACTTCTATACACTTTAAAGTGACATTTAAAGGCTTAACTAGGTAAATTAGGTTAACTAGGCAGGTAAGGGATATTAGGCAAGGTATTGTATAATGATGGTTTGATCTGTAGACTATCGAAAGAAAAATAGCTTAAAGGGGCTAATAATTTTGATCTGATTTTTTTTTTTTAAACTGCTTTTATGCTAGCCAAAATAAAACAAATACGACTTTTCCCAGAAGAAAAAATATTATCAGACATACTGTGAAAGTTTCATTGCTCTTTAAACATCATTAAGGAAATATTTAAAAAAAGAAAAGAAAATTCCAAGAGGGGCTAATAATTTTAATTAATAATAATTAACTTTAACTGTATATGAAATAAAAATTATGCATACACTACCAGTCAAAAGTTTGGGGTCAGTAGGATTTTTAAATATTTAAAAATAAGCTTATCCTGCTCACCAAAGCAGCATTTATTTAATAAAAAATACATCACAAATAGTACAATTGTGAAATGCTAATGCACTATAAAATAACTGTTCAAAATTGCTTATTATTTATTTTATTTAACCATTTATTCAAGTGATTTTTAAGATGAATTTTCAGCTTCATTACTGTAGTCTACAAAGACACATGATCCTTCAGAAATCACTCTAATATTAATTATTATTATTATTATTATTATTATTATTATTATTTGTATTATTATTATGATTATTAATGGTAATAGTGATAAAATCAATATTGACATGAGTAATTATTTTATTTGAAACTACACACAATAAGAAAGCAGTTATTTAAGATTTTTATAAATATTTAAAATATTTTTTTCCATTTAATAAATGCCGCTTTGATGAACAGAATAGCTTTCTTTAAAAAAAAAACATTAAAAAAAAATGATCCCAAACTTTTGACCAGTGGTGTATATTTGATCTATGTCTAAATATTCAATATTTGCTTAAGTTGAAACGTCACCTAGCACTTCCGATTGTACTTCAAAAGAACCCTTCTCTTTTAACCGCGACACAGATTTGTGTCTCCTGCCAAAAGCACATTCAATTGATGTTTCGTTTAACAGAACCATCTGGTCGCTCGTCCTCTCCTCTCAGTCCAGCACGAGACCTTTGTGCCCAAACACAGAGCCCCTATCACACACAATACAGCCATTAAAAACCACAAATCCAGATGGACATGTTAGGAGGGGAGAGTGTTAGTGTCTGAAAGAAGCACAGAGACAGAAGAAAGAGAGACAAAGGTAGAACAAGACAAAGGTCAAAAGCGAAGCCTAAGCGAGGGGCCGGCGGTACAGTGGCGTCCCTCTGCTGCGTGCGAATGCGTGATGAATACGAGGACATGCAGAGGAAGCAGTGTTAGAGCAGCTGTTATTAAATACCCTATTTATCACTGTCACCTCTCTGCACTGCCTGCAGGCGCTGAAACCATGTAGCTCCACCAAAACACACACCTTTAATTTTCCACTCGGCTGCTTTATCGATTAGGGCTGCAATTACCTAACTAATCTGTAACGGTGTATTAAAAGAAACCTCCCTTTGTTGGACAATAACTAAAGGCAGTTTGATCACAGGAAGGCAGCTTGAGCGCTGGAGGGAACAGAAGAGTCGGACCTCCGCTCTGTTGGACCCCGATCATTAACACACCCCGAGTAAAGCGCTCTGTAATTAGCTGGCCCAGCCTGGGAGATCAGTGTGTGTGTGAGAGAGAAAGAGAGAGGAAGGCTATGGGTCAGTCTTTAACTTTGAACTAACATCCTGTAAAGGCTGGTGCTAAGAAGAGGTTCACCAGGGACCCAAAACATCTCAGAGACCTCAAACTGCAGGAGCAAAAAAAAAAAAAAAAAAAACATGCTGTCAAGACAGTTTGAAGGTCAGATTCCACCAGAGAGCATGGCGAATTAGCTTACGCACCTGTAAAGCAAGAAGTCATCTCTTAATTCCTATTAAGTCTACATAACAGCAGATCCCTTCAAATGGAATTAATTGAAGCAAATTTATAAAGGCCCCCGCAGAGACCCCAGGAGCCACCGAGGCAAAGGGCACACGTTTGAAATATGACCACAATGATTGGTTAAATGTAGGCGCGAGCCACCGAACATGTTACATGCATATTAAATTCCACCCTTCTCAGCAGCTTGTGCTCTCCCCAGAGAAGCAAACAGCATCATGGGAGGAAAAACTCATTTTCAGAAAAAGTGGACTCAGTTGTGCTGTTAACCAAAATGCGACGAGGAGGCAATCTGCAACGCACGGTAATATTCACTGTCAGAGTAATATGGCCTCAAAGAATTCTTTATGATGTGCATGAGATGAAAATCTCTCAGTGTATGAACATTAATGCAAATTGTCGCGATAACAAATGAAAACATTCGCAGATATCGCCAATGACGAAATGTGAGTTTCAGAACGAACTATTCGGTGGCCGCAGAATTAATCAAGACAAGAAGAAAAAAACTACACTCAGGCAGTGCAGGACACCCGCGAGACATCATTGTCAGTGTGTCACCTTCTGGCCTAATCTGGCTAATGACTGCAATGGCCTTGAGAGGTGCAGCATTGATAAAGCATCTAAAAATAAATAAATATCAAATATAAGTGATTTCCCTTCCTGCAGAAGCCGTGCTTTTGAAGCCCATGGCTACTCCAGAGTCATTGAGAGCTGATGGGGGGTAAAAGACAACACCAGCTGAAAGTGGATTTTGAAAAATTCCTCTACCCAGGAGGCCTGTGCTTCTAATGAGGCGAAACTTTAAGTATTGAATAATAAATAATAAAAGTTGATAGTTCATTTAACTTCCACTGTACTTCACAGGGGGAAAAACTATTACGAGTCATTACATTTGGTGTCCACGATGTGAGCAGTAAGTATTGAAAGCACTTTTACGGTGATGTTACAAACAAAAGATAGAAGATGAACAAGACATGAAATAAGAGCAGACAACAACATTCCCTTCCTTACTCAAAAACAAAAACAAAGACTGTTTAAAGAACACTGAAAAAAATTACTTTTAAGATTAACTTTAAATCCTCGTAACAATTTGCACAAACAAATTGCAAGTAAATTTTACTACCTTATACCAGGCACAATTAACTTATCAATATCAAGTAAAATTTTCTTAATGTTTAACCTAACACTCCTAAATTAATTATGTCAAATTTAATTGATTGTCTTTCCTTTTGAGTCTATATAGATTTAAATTAACCAAGTTCTTGTTTTAGCAGAAGGAACATTGCTTTTATCCATTTAAATAAATCTTATTAGTTACAAATTAGTACATTTGGTGTAACTTGGTTAAATTAAGACACACATTTCTATTTGAAAAGTCTTATTTCACTTTATTTTATGCAAACTGAACCCAACAGCAAATTTACTTTAAAAATGCTTACTGATCCCAGAGGTAATGTTAGCACAATGGCTCTCTTAGTGAAGTGTCATACATCAATGCTGATAATAAAAATGCCAAGACCCTAAGCATGAGTGCTACTTCTCTACAAGGTGGTAACCTTAAAACAACATCAAAAAGTGTACTCAAAACTCTTCTTAATCTTCAAACTAATCAGGATAAAACTCTAACAACTCTCTCTCGAATTTAAACACCTACTTTTACTTTCAAAATATTCTCTACTTATTTCAATCCCTTGCAAAGCTTGCTGGGAACTTCAAATCCATTTTAACATATCCATTATTAAAATTTACTTAATATAAGGTTTGCAATGATTAGAAAATATTTCATTATTACAAGTAATTTAATATTAATATTTAACTATATCCATTCATTTAATTTATGAAGTAAATATGTAAATATTAAATATTTTCTTAAAAAATTCTAGTTATCATTGACACCTAATATTTTAAGATTAAAGATTTTAAAGTATTATTACTGGTCTATAAATCACTAAATGGCCAAGGACCTCAATACATTACAGATATGCTGACTGAATACAAACCCAACAGATCACTCAGATCTTTAGGATCATATAAACTAGAAGTTCCAAGAGTTCAGTCAAAGCAGGGTGAATCTGCCTTCAGCCACTATGCCCCTCGCTGCTGGAATCAGCTTCCAGAAATGATCAGATGTGCTCCAACATTAGGCACATTCAAATCAAGACTGAAAACACATCTGTTTAGCTGTGCCTTTACTGAATGAGCACTGTGCTGAGTCCGACAGATCGCACTATTATGTTTTTCGTTTTCTTTTTTATTCTTTTATAACCTATTTTAACTCATTTTAATTTGTTTTTATCTGTTTTTAATAATTTTTATTGTCTACATTTTATGTTCCTAAACTTGTCTTTTTATTCCTGTTTATGTAAAGCACTTTGAATTGCCACTGTGTATGAAATGTGCTATATAAATAAACTTGCCTTTTTTTTGCCTAATATTCATACGTTCATTAATTTTTTTCTCGGCTCAGTCCCTTTATTAATCTGGGGTCACCACAGCGGAATGAACCACCAACTTATCCAGCATGTGTTTTCTGCTCTGATGCTCTTCTAGCTGCAACCCATCACTGGGAAAGACACTTAACATCACAATTTTAAAATTATGAGAGTAAATTTATTAGATTTGACTACACCAAAGTAATTTCTTTCAGTGTAGGTACAAGTTTATGATTAGCTTTTCACAAAACACATCAAACACAATTACTTTGAATGTTTTTAATTTGTGCCTGGTCACATGGGGAGGCCACTGCCTGAGTCGACACAAAAAATAATGAATATTGAAAGATATAAACAGGAATTTAATATAGGAGTTTTCCCTTTGCTAATCTTGCTTGGTTAACACCTGTATAATTTAAAACAGGGGGTGCAAGCTAGAGATGCACGTTGCTATGGAAACATCAAGATGTGCAGCCAGAAAACGGAAAGAGATGAAGAAATTGGGGAGAGAAAAAAAACTGAAAATATGTAGCTACTTGTCATCCTTGCCAATCAGCAAAGTAATGAGAACGCTTTCCCCAAGGGTGAATAGATCTGGAATAATAGATTTGTAATAGCTTTTCCCTTCCAACAAAAACACTTTCAGCGTTCAAAAATCTAATACAACAGACTGGAAAAGAGCGCAACAGTGACCACCTACTTCCAGAAGCATTTTGCTTTGTTTAACATTGCACGCAATATAAACAAGTGTTGTTGTAATCTTTTGGTATTGATAATAACCATGAAGTGTAATAAATAAATAAATAAATACAGACAATGATATAACAGACGTGATAAAACTGTAAATAATCCAGCACCAATAACTATCTGCTTGACACTCCAACATAGTAGGTGGGGGCATTGCAATTTAAAGGGATAGTTCATCCAAAAATGAAAATTCTTTCCATAATGTACCATCACTTATACACCTTTGATTTGTTCCCGAAACAGTTTACAGAGTATTTTTGTTTTTTATTGTTCTGTTGAACACAAAAGAAGACACATTGCAAAATGTTGGAAACCTGTATCCACTGACTTCCATAGTAAGAAGAAGAAATTGCTATGGAGGTCAATGGTTTTCAGTTTCCACTGAATCTTCAATAATTCCTCATTTGTGTTTAACTAAAGACTATAGACCTTTTTCTTCATTGCTGCATGGAGGGCACCATAGTGACCAGCGCCTTCCGGTAGTGTGTTTACTGTTTTCAGTGGCTTCAAAGTGTTTTTTTTTATGCAAAACATTAATTTAGAAAGAAAGATGTGTGTTAAAGTCTGTACTTCTGTAAGATGAGGTTCAAGTGCAAGAGAAAAACAGATGCTGAAATATAGCGTCAGTGTATGCCGCGGCTCTTCAATGCACACACTCACAATCAATACCTCACTGCATTTTAAAGAGCAAACCATATTACTGGCATGAAACTGGCAGGTATGGAAGGGATGCAATTTCCAAAAATTACCAATAAAAGTATGCTACTGATACTTTTCTGGCTGATTTGAATGTTGATTCTAATCTGGAGCAGTTATAATTTCATTTCATTTAGTTTGTGTTGTGTAGTATTTACCACAGTATGTGTTTTTCAGTCATTTCAACACGCCACTTTGTGTTCACTTTGTGACACTTATTCAATCAATGTGTTAGTGGGACAGTACAGCAGGCTATGTGTGTGCGTGTCAAACATTTTGGAAAATTACATTTATTTAAGTTATTCATTTATTTGAAAGAAAGAGTTTCCCCATTCAGACAGAATGCCCGAGCATACTGCCAGAGAGGCGTTTCCCAGATGGTCGCCGAGATGGTCAGTAGTAGCTACTTTGTAGTTGCCTGTCGCTCTGGGTGGCGACATGCTGCAAACAGGTCTATGCAGGTCTACAGCACAGAGAATACAATCAAGCTGAGATAGGATCACATGAGCTCTAATGGTGCACCTATTTGCTGTCGCTCAAGAAAGTTGAAGGATTCTCAACTTTGTTGCATCGCTCATGCACACTTGGTCACCAACGTTCACTGTCACTCGCATAGACAGAGGTCACTGGAAGTAGCTTGCACTCCGTTAAAATGAACGGTCGTTTGTCGCTTTGCTGTTGCAAGTCATTCATAATGTAAACGAGGCTTTTAAGGGACTTCAACATAACAAAAAAAAACGCAAATAAGTTAAAGGCGAGTAAACGATGGCATAATTTTTATGGATGCTGCTATATTATCGATATCCTAAATGATTTCGTAGTAAAACATATATTTTGTGACAAGTTTGACTTGACATAATAAAATTTGCATAAAAAAAAAAGGTGCAAATGTATGAATGAATGTCTGCACAATTTCTTGTTGACAATAACAATATCCAAAACAACTGACTTATTCATCATAAAAGTTTAAATATATTTGATTTATTAAGAAACTACTATAATTACAAATATATGAATATATGAAAGTGCATTAACTTCCTTATTTGTGAAGTTAAGTTTACAATTCTAAGCAAAGTTTTTTAATAGTCGGTAGTCTGCTTTTTAAAACTGCTTTAGAAGTCAAACCACATAACAGATCAATTAAAAGTCTCAACAAAGAGTCTGACAGAAATTTCAGACATACTCACATAGGACAGCATGGCTTTGAGCTCGTCATCACTGCGAACTGTGATTCGGTCACCAACTTCATCCTCATCTGAAATAAAAGCGGACTCCATTATTTACAAGCTAATTTCCACAAGCATTTTTATCCTGCACTGTATATTTACTCATTTGCATGAACAACTTTTTAGTTCAGGACAACAGTATTGCAAAGAAATGAAGTTATGTTTTCCTATTTCTTTTTACTCTATTAGCTATACTGATTGCATTTAAACTTGAGTAACATAAGTAAAATACAGCAGCAACACTTACACTCAAATGCTGTGACTGTGGCTTCAGGCATGGCATCTCTGATCGCGGCCTGTCAAAAAAGGGAATCTCAGCAATCACACATTTGACTGACAGCTGTCAATCAGCACCACTATTCGAAAACACATAGCAAAAAGCACGTTTTAATAAATGGCATGCTCCACAAATGGTTTCCCTCTTTAAAAAGTCATAAGATATGAGATGAAAACTGGCTGTGAGTTAAATTAAAGCAGCTGCTCACCAGCAAATCATTGAAGTTGAGATGTGATGGACTGTCCACTGGCGAGTCCATGTCCCCCACCGGCGTCTTTATCCGGATGACGATTCCCTCAGATTCCATATTGCTCAGGTTACTCAAAACAAGTAAAAGCATAACAAAAACACACCGACAAACATAATCTTGGCTTTTAGACCGGATTTTCAGACCAACAGCAGCTGGAGAGCTGGCTAGGAGGCTAACAGTTTAACGTAGCATGAGCGCATTTAAAACACGACTGACGCAGCGAACATTCCGTCTAATAAACTCGCGACATGTCATTCCAGATGTGCTAAAGACTTTCTGTCTGCCAGTTAACTGTGTTAGATTTTATCAGTAGTTATCAAACTGTCAACAATGAAAGTAAAACAGAGGAAGTTACGCGGAAGTATATCGACGTTTACCCGGAAGCTGAACCTCTACTAGAGGCGCATAAAAGCCTCAGAAAGCAATCTTGCGAGTCGTGATAAATATTTTGGAGCTGTTATGTTGCTCTCCTGAAACTATAAATCATTTGTTTTGGGGTTGTTCTGTTACTCAAGCTTTCTGGGATAATATTAACGTGCTTATTAATTTTTAGATTTTGTTAACGATTTTTTGTTAACTTTAACATCAGTTTCAAACAAGAACTGAATTATAATTAAACATAATTTCATTGTTTAGATAGAAAGCAATAAACGTATGTTTTTATTGCTTATTATATACAGAAAAGGTATGTAATGTTTTATATTATTTCTTAATGTGCTTTATCATCATTTAAAGGATTAGTTCACCAAAAAGCAAAATTTACTCACTATTTGCTCGTCCTCGATGGATTCCAAACCTTTATGAGTTTCTTTCTTTTATTGAACACAAAATATGTTGAAGAAAGCCTGTAATCATAACCTTCCATAGTAGGAAATATACTATGCAAGTCAATGGTTACAGGTTTCTAACATTTTTTTTTTAAATATCTTCTTGTTCTTCCTCAATTGTAAGTTACTTTGGACAAAAGCATCAGCTAAATAACTAAATTTAAAATTTAAATAAACTTATGATGGAACTTTTTTAAATATTATATTATTGTTTTTTTTTTTTATTAACTATTGGGGTGCGGCCGGGTAAGGGGCCCTACAAGACAATGTGCCCAGGGAACTCTGAATTGTTAATCCAGGCCTGGATCCAAGACCTGTAAATAAATTATGCCAAGCTATCCATAATCCTGGACCAGGCCGTATTCTGAGCTGATGCTGTGGTGGTCATGGAGGAGCAGAGAGAATAAGACTGATTCCTGAAAGACCCCAGTGACAGACAAGTTGATCCAGTGGGCCAACTTGAACACTGCCAGTGACCTACTCACACCTGCAGCTTCTCCGTAATGGAAAGCCAGCATTCTTAAGCCTCCAGCGCCTAGACTACAGCTCTGCACAAGAAGTTTGACCAGAGGAGAAATGGTCATGCCCACCTGAGCCTGGTTTCTCTTGATGTTTTTTACTTTACTTTCGTCAATTGGTGACGTTTTGTTCCTTGCCACTGGCTCACTTGGTTTGGGACTAGTGGAGCTGCGCATCGATGGATTTGCTCTTTATTGTTTGAACGTTCAGCACTGAAATTTAAACCACACTAAGCTGAACTAAATTTAACTTCAGCTCTAAAAACTGGACTGACACAGTTTCAATTTACTTGAACTAAGTAAGCTGCTTTGACACAATCTATATTGTAAAAGTGCTATAGAAATAAAGATGAATTGAATTAAATTGAATATATTCATCTCGATCAACACCAACAGGTTAATCAAAAAGACTGGTGCAAATACACTCTCTTTCAACTCAGATAAACATAATAATAACTTCACCTAAAATGAATATTTCACATCTAAATGCATTGTTATATGCAGTCTCGGTGGGTGTTGATTATTTCATATATTTCCTCCTCTATTATTTAGTTCTTCCATACTTCACCTCTATTACTTATTACCTCTTAACTGCATCACTAATATACAATTTAAATAGCATTAGTATTTAAAGATTTCCACTTTGCACAAGTCATTAGCGCATAATTGAATGTACAACAAAGAACATTTAGTGCGCTGTTGATTACAGCCTTATCTTAGGGGAGACTCATTCACTCAATCATGGTCACCGGCTGCTGATTGCAAAAGCCTCAACAGACATTGATCCTTCAGCAAAGCAGAGTTTTGTTTCTTTGGCCCTCGGAGTCCAGCTAATGCAGCGTTGATACCCTAGACCACTGGTCGGATTGTGAAGTGTCATGACAAACAGCTATGGAAGCCAAGTCTGACCCACGGCGAGCTGAAATCCACAATGATATGATCGCAGCCTTCCAAGCAGCAGGATCAGGTCTCACATCAAACTTTAAAACAATAGTGTCTACAGCCTATCGAAGCCCTGACCTATTATCGGCCCGGTCAGTGGAACAAAGTCGCAGTTCCCAAAAGAGCAATGGAAGAATGCCACTTTAAGTGTTTTCTTTGTATAGGAGGACAAAAGCGGGATGCTTAAATACGCGACAGGGTTGTGCTTGCTCGAATGGAGACAGAACGGTCAGGTTTAACCTCCTGATGTTAGTGAAAACTTACTAAGAGCTCTCTGTTTAATGATCAGATTATAATGCTCGTATTACAATTGCCAGCTGGGGATTAGGTTTTGATAGCTCTAAAATGTACAGTTTGTGTAAACAGCTGAATACACAAGTGGCTCATAAACACACAATCAAACCTAATGAGTGGTTAACCCCTCATGCTCTGAGCTCTGAGTCTTCAGCTGCTCTGCATGACATTGATTGTGTGTCAAACAGCACAATATATATGCAATGGCTGAGTCTCATTGTTGCAGGTTTAGAGACAGAAATGGAGTAGCAGAGTCAATGTATCTAGAGTAAAGCGATGATTAAAAGAGAGATGTGTAACTGCCGCTTGTCCTCCCTCAGTGGACTTGGAGAGTTAAGGGTCTGGTGCAGTATTAAAGAAGAAGAGGGGAAAAAACATGCCACATCAGCAAACACAATTATCAGAAATCAAAGTGGAGGAAGAGCGTAGGATTGAGAGAGAAGGCTGGAATGCAGTGTCTGGTAATTAAAAAACATTTTATCAGCCCAAACGCGCTTTTCTCTCTTGCTCTCTCCATCGACAAGCTGTTTAGCCGAGACAGAGCGGTTTGAGTCCAGACACATGAGCTGCTGGTGTTTAACTTTCTGCACTGGACAAGAACAGGAACAAAAGACACACTAGAAAAGTTTCCATTACTGCAACATTGGCTAAAGCAAGACCTTCTCCTCACAAAGACAAACCATTTATAATTATTAGTATACAGTTCCAAAAGCTAGAAAAGTGTTTTTTTTTCTCTAACCAGAATTAGTCATGTACTAACTGACAGGGCACTGACTGCGCACAAAGTGCAATAAAACAACAACATGTCCAATGGATGAATAAACGTCACCATATTTGTGAAGAGCAAGCACCCATTGGCTAAATTCTCCATCAGACAAACTAGAAAATTTACTTGCTAAAAGTGACTGAATGATAGCATATGCAGAATGTCAAAACACTCGACTGCTTTGTTTAGATTTTAGTAACTATAACTTTAGCCCCTTTCACACAGTGATACTGGTAAACATCCGGAAAATTTCCCGAATTACTTTATCGGTAAGTTCAAAAAAGCACAGTTCACACAGGCAAGGACATTACGGAATTTTTTCAGAATAGACTGTTCACACACAACCTCTAAACGGCTGCGCTTGTATTGTAAACATTTGACTACAATACAAACTCTGTGGATGGAGAAGTATTATGAGCAACTTCGCTGAAAACATATGGAGCAATTTCGCATGTCAAGACGTGCACACGCAATGCATCAAGCAACTGAAAGAAGCAGATCTTGAAGGTAAACAAACAATGGCTTATCAAAAGCATATTATAGATCATTATTTACACAGTTGGCATTAAGAAGGAACATAGAAACGTTAACTAACATCTAGCAGCTAAATGTGCCTGGAAAAATATTCAAAGGCTTTTATTTTCATAAACAGCACAGATGTAAATGAGTGTTCTGGTTGGCTGGAGAGCATGTCTCACGTCAGCGCGTCCTAGACGTGAACGCGTTCTTTCTGGCAATCTTCCTTCTGCGTTCACACAGAGAAGCATTCCAGCAAATTACCGGTAATGTTACTTCTCTTTCTGGAAAATTGCTGGAACGAACTAACCAGTATTTTCAAAAAGTGCCTGTTCACACATTCAGACCTTTTCGGAAAATTTATTTAGTTTGTGGTCTCGTTTTATTTGTAACACTGTAAGCTATGACATCGACTTGCTTTTTACAACAAAGATGCCATTTTTACAGATAAAAAACAGGTCTCCGGCAGAAACGGTGACGTAAATGAATAACCATTAAAAATGTAACATTATTTTGTTGCTGGACTAAAAGTGTTCTATGGGATGTTGTTCTGAAGATTTTACCTTTCAAAATAAACCATGATGCACAGCAATAAATGCTTGTGTGTCTTGTTATTACCATGATAAGTATGTTAAAAAACAGCACCCCAGTGTATCCACTTCTTGACGCTGGCTAGGAGGTAAAGTGGTGTGTATTGTACACAGTTCCGGAAAATTTTAAAAACACTTTACACTTTTTTTATTTCTCTGGATTTGCCATTATTATGTTTTGAACCAAATTTCAGGCTTACATTGCAGAAAATTACAATATTCCATGTTGTAATTTTTTTTATAAATATTTATATAGGTTTTTTTTGTAATACTTGCACTATTTTGTTATTATGGAATAATTTCTCAAAAATATTTCTGATTGGAATGTGAAAAGCCATAAAATATTCATCCAATCATTGCATTTGGTCTGAATAATGAGATACAGGGAGTAATAGGCTATCCTTCCTGCTTGTCAGCCTATTTATTTGCATAACTTTAGAGTTTAGGATGTGGCTACAGTAGCAGGCTAAACCAGAAGCTGTTTAGTCAGAAAATTAGATTATGTAACAAAATTGCAGGGTTCAGTGCACACTGAGTTGGGCTGCAAATTAATCAAAGGTGATTTTCAGGGTAATTTTGTCAGTAAAGCCGGTTCTGTCATAAGCTGTAAATCTCCAGCATCTGTTTTTAGATAGAGCAGCGTTTACTATACAGAGCCATAGTTTGCAGATGATTCAATAGTGACGATTCTGAAATCAGAGATAATAGACAGTTGTTTTCATCGCTTCTCAATGAAGTAGGCAACAGCTCTGTGTTGAGGCTACATCTGAAAACATGTCAAAATGCCACATTTAATAATATGGTTTGACTACAAACTCACTTCATACCTTTAGTCAAGTGTTTAAAATAATCCTTATGTT